CATTCCTAACCAACGATAAATGCACTTTGGTGAACTGATCATTGGTAAACCAATACCAGCATTAAATGTTAATTCTTAGAACAAATACCACATAGCAGCATTGCCTGCTTTTCTGGCCCCAGTTTCACAAACAAACTTAAATCAGTTCCAGTGGCTATCATCTTTGTTACCAACGTTACATGGTCACATGCACACATCTTACCCTATCTGGAACAGTGTTACAGCACTCTCATGGACACATGCACATATCCTTAGCCAGGGCACTGACTAAAGTTTGTTTGTGGAGCCAGGACAGGGATAGGAGAAACCTGCTCCATGCTTATTACATGGCTACGTTGACAACAAAACACCACGGCAATGGTCAATTTCTGATTAGTTTTCATCTGGGTCATACACTGAATAATAAGAGGTAGATTTAAACACTAGCTACATGAACATGACCCACGTGAAAACTTATTCGCAAAATAGAACCACCATCAGTGCTGGAAGCTATTTTTTTTTTTACATACACTTTCACCTCAAATCATTTTATACTAGGCAAAATGTAATATACTCATTTCTACAAGGGCCACCTTTTAGTATTTTTCTCTCTGTAACTTTTTTCTAGCAACGAACATTTTTACTGTGGTAAGTAAACATTCAGAAACAGGATATCATGCACATTTTTTTCACAGATATTACCATATGGAATTTTTCTTTACATTATCACTAAGTATTTAACACACATTAGCAATATCATAAAGACCAGAAAGTAGCTCTGCATTATGAGTAACTTACAATTTGTGGTGCTTCAAATACTGTTTACAATACATGCTACATTGGCCTTCTTGCGAGATCCCGCTGGAATGTAAAATAATCAGGCCTACCCAACTACCAGACTCGTCACATAAAGATCCTGACTTAACCGGTATATTGGACCACACAAACTGTTTTCAAGGTATGTGTCAGATCGTATTTCGGAGTATCCTACCCCAGAACACATTTTGTAGGACGACCACGGGCTGATCCTGTCGGTGTTCTGACTGATACTCCGAAATGCGATCTGACACACACCTTGAAAAAGGGTAATGTGGTCCAATATACAGGTTAATAAGGGGTACTGGAGGAAATCAGCATTGGTCAGAATTGTGCCGGAAGTGTGACATCAAGTGGTGTAAGACGCGAAGCTGAGTGGTCATTTTTAGCAGGAGGTGAACGAGAGAGAAGACGTGGACTCGGAGAAAAAAACTGTTTTTCAAACAACATGGTAAAATAACATTTCTTTTTTACGCATTTAGGGCAGAGAATACTTGTAGAAATAAAAGGCACACGATATGAAATGTGACACGGAACTTGAAGGTGCAAAATCGTGCTTTATTTGCAGACAACTTATTTTGAAATACATGCTGCATCAAATGCCAGCGTGACAAGAGCGTAAAGGGAGAGGAATTCCACGGAGACTAAAAATCATTTTCATTGTGAAATTTTGACATTTATATAATCTGATATGTCCATATCTAAGTATTTTTGGGTGTTTTATGGTATGTGCTGCAATTATGATGATGTTTCAGTTATTTGAAGGACTTGTGAAAACCAGGAAGCAGTTTGTAACTAACAACTGAATCGTACTGATCTATGACTGCTGTGCAAAGATGTATCTTTTTTTAACATTGTGACAAATTTTTAGATCTTTATATGTCCATCTGACATGAAATTCCACACATATGATCACACTAATACTCCGTTTACACTGGGGTAGGCACTAATCAGTGACAAATGCCAAGACAAAGGTGACTTTCTGACAGCCTTCAGTCTGAGCTAAAAATCACAAGTAAACGACTGGCATTTAATGGCATCTTACAAGATTTTCCAAAAAGATGAAAAGAGAATTCAGAAGAGCCAATCACAAGGCTGACAGGTAATTAAGACTAGCTCTAAGTTACTAATAATTGGCATTATTATGCAATACTCAGTTGGAAAAGCGATTCTGACAGGTAGATAAGTGAACATGACTAGTTTCTGAAGGCTATCGACTTCCAGCCTGAGGAAGTTGATTGCCAGTCTCTTTTGCTAGTGATTTTACCTCAGATAAGAGGTAAAATCACTAGCAAAATCACTAAAAATAGATATATCGTAAAAATAAAAATTTGTCAAAATATTTAAAAATAGATACATCTTTACACAGTAGTTGTAGATTGGTACAACTCAGTTGTCAGTTACAAACCACTTCCTGGTTTTCACAAGGTCCTTCAACAGGGGCGGATTTAAGTCGTCTTCTGGGTCTTCCAGAAGACAGTCAGATTTTCAAGTTTACATTGACAGGTGTCTAATTTTTTTGTCAGAAGACGGTCAAAAATTGAGGGTTGATCAATGAAGATAATTTGGAAGCCTGTCAGAAAATAACTCTGGATCCGCCTCTGTTCAAAGACCCTAATACATCCTTTTAATTGCAGCACATACCATAAAACACCCAAAAATACTTAGATATGGACATATCAGATTATATAAAGGTCAAAATTTCACAATGTCAACGACTTTTAGCCTCCCGGGAATTCCTCTCCCTTTATGCTCTTTGTCGCACTGGCAGTTGATGCAGCATGTATTTCAAAACCTTCAAGTTCCATGACACCTTTTCATATCATGTGCCTATTGTTTCTACAAGTATTCTCTGCCCCAAATGCATTAAGATAAAATGTTATCTTACCGTGTTGTTAGAATAACTGCTTTTTTCTCCAAGCCCATGTCTTCTTTCCCATTCACCTCCAGCTTAAATTGACCACTCAGCTTTACGTCTTACACCACTTAACGTCTCTTCTGGCACAATTCTGACCAATGCTGATCTCCTCTGGTACCCTGTATTCTGGATCCTTCTGTGCAGAGTCTGGTAGTTGGGTAGGCCTGGTAATGATCCTTTTCAAAGGTGCAGCATTTCTCATTTTCACATTTCCTACAATAGAAAAACTTTTGGCTTGGTCCATGCTCTCTCTACTAATTATCAAATATATTTGTTATTTTAAGTTCTTACCAAAGTCGCCATATATGTTTGTTGGCTCCTTACACTGCCCACTGTATGAAATGATCAATAGGAGTAACGCTGCACAAATTTGAAAAAAAAAAAAAAAAGTTCTTCAAAATTGTGTTTGTCTAATGATTCAGCTACTTGCTATTTTGTGACCATAATCATTACTTCAGAAGGAACTCCAATGCAGAAATGCATTTCTCATTAAAGATAACTCCACAAGCCAAAGGTATTCAGTTATCTAAGGCATTAAAGGTATAATAACTCTTCATTTTGGCCAAAAAAGGAATTTTCCAGGAGTACACAACAATTTTCCCATACTAACCAATGGTTAATGAATCCATTTTTACATTCAAAGTTAGTCCCTGGTTTCTTTCTAAAAAGTTTGGTTTTTTGTTTAAATCTCTTAAGAGATTATAACACAGTATAGCCATCAATGGAGATCATGTGATCTGAAGACAAGTTCAGACATCCAAATAATGGCTATAACTGCTGTTTTTGTCATAAAACAATATATTACAGTATATTTCTATGAGTTATTCACAATGTTCTTATTGTGAAATATAGACCTCATACGAAGAGTTACTATCCCTTTAACCTCCATTGTCCTCAGTAGGACAACCCTATTCTCCTCCAGGGGCCCAAAAACCCCATTACAAACTTATCATATCTAATGCTGGTGGCAGAACAAAAGGGGGTGTGTATATCCGTTAAAGTAACTGAATTCAGCAAGAGTCCCTACAGAGCTGGATGGATGTATGTTGATTCTGGGGTAGCGCTAGCAATTTTTTCCCTTAGCCAAATCACCACGTTTTTGTCAATTTGTTATCCAAATGGTTCTAATTTGACTAAAATTAGTCAAATCAAGCCCTTTTTTGTTAAGCCAATTTAAGTCAGTTTTAGCATTTGGCTAAATTGGCGAGTATTAGTGGTACCCCAGAGATTGATAGTTTCAATGGAAATGAGCCTTAAGCTTATATTGGTAAATACATTAAAGAATGCATTCACTGATGATAGACCGACTCTTCATAGAGTAGGTCTTCCCTGTTGATGGTCCAATCACAAAAAAATCAATGTAATCCTCCTGTTCTTTTATACCTAGTATAGGTCTGATTTTTGGGGAATAATAAAAATTCACCAAGTGCCTAAGGTACCCTTAGCAAAATGAAAAGCTTGGTATTAATGTTCTTGCACATTTGCAAGAGAGTTAGCAACAGGCCTGATATTTTGCTAAGGGTAAGCTAATCTTGATCAGCCAGCCAGTAGAGAAGAATTAGGCCCTTTTCACATTGCTTGGTGTACTCATCTGTATTGCAAATTTCAATTTTAATTACAATGCATTTTCCTTTTTCTTGCTCCATTTCACAAGTTTTCTACTACCTGTTTTGGGCAATCAAAATGTATCCAATCAATTGTCTGAAGTGCATACCTATGCATATAAGACCCAGAAATAACAGCCAGGCCATTAAGTTCAGGGATGAGACAGAGGTTCAGTGAGATAAAAAAAAAGAAATTCACTGGTAGTAGGAAACATTTCATCTATGTAAGTTGTCAATTTTTCTAACTGTTGTAATCTAAGTAAACTGCACAATATGAACAGGGCCTTATGTTCAATAGGGCAAGCCATCTTCAGTGTAAACACTCCTTTGTAACTGATCCTGTAATTGGGCTAAGTAAAAAAAAAAAAAAAAGTACTGCTGTACCAGTATACACATAGACAATAATTTTTCAATGGTATTTCTACCATGAAAAGCTCTTGCAAGGTGCACTCACACATGGGTTATTCATTTCAGAATTTTGGGTTGATGCCAACAGAAATCTTGTGGGACATCCCATAGCTCCTTATGATCATTATTTTTCAGTGTCAACCAAAAATCAAGTATTATAACTTGGTTACATATACTGATGCTATGACGCATACACACATACAAGCTTGGTTGGTACATTGTGCAATAAAAAACTCCCCCCCCCCCCCCCACCCCTAAACTTAATTCTTCTCATTTCTCATTTATATTAAGTTATAAAATGATCTTATTGAAGTGCTCACAGTTTTTGTCTTGACCACTACAGGAATATGACATCTTAGGTCTTAATTTCACGCCAGCTGTGGTCAAGACAGAAGTTAAATATGACTCAAAATTTGTTGTAAATGTCATGTGGTCATATGACACTGAACATTTGGGCAGTTCCACACTGTTAGAGGACAAAGAACATGTTAAGGTTGTTCATTTTCTCTATGAACAACTCTTTTCTTGTTTTTTTTTCTTCTTCTTTTTCAAGCACATTAAAACTTTCTTATTTTGGACAGAAATATTGCACACATCAGTTTTTGTGCCTGAAATGGAGAGAAACATGTCCATACATAGTACAGAACTTATCAAGACCCATTTTGTTGAAGCCTTAAGCCACTTATGCAGACCTTTGTTGATTAAAGGTTCATGTGCATTCAATAACCTTGCTCACATCCTACTAATGTCCTGACTGTTCTTAAAACTCAGGTATTTGACTGTATATGTATCTTCAAAAAGTATATAATATGTAAATAAATCATAATGAAAAAAAAATGAAAAGTACATATCAAATAATAACAATAACAATAAAAATAAAAAATATATATTGCACAATGTACTGGCCCATGTCTGTGTATATGAGCGTAATAGCACCAGTATAACACCAAATTTTCCTTACAATGAAAGATATCAAAAATGTCTTTTAAAATCCCTGTCCTTGACCATTTTTCCAGAAATGTAGTCCTAACCCCTAGGATCTCAACACTAGTGGGCTTGATATCAAGACATGCATACATAGTCTTAGGCAAAATCTGCTCAGTGATATCAACCTGAGCAGATTGCAGGGCATCCATAAATGTAATACTTATTAAACTATGGCTGACACTGAAAAATGCAACCCCCCTCTGCCCTTTTATAAATCCGCAGTATCCACCACCACCTTCAGAAACATAGTGTCTTCTTTCACGTATGCTGTTCCTTGTTTTTCTAACTGGGTCAGAGCCATGAAGAGGGGGCAACCACTGGCGATGTTCATTTCTGAGGTTGGACGCTTGAAACTGGAGCTGGTAGGATCCGGCCTGAAGGCGTCTATTATGTGCTCGCGGTTGTTCTGGTCCAGCAGCATGAAAGTGACCTTCTGTTTGAATGGCCAGCGGAGGAGGGCATCGTAATGACCTCTCATCACCACGAAAAAAAGGCTAACATGGCTGCCCTTCCCCATCCCATCACCATTCAGGTAAATTCGACAGCACATCTTGTAGCCGTGGGGACCAGTGTAGAAGGATGGGGAATACAGGCTGGTGACTCTACCTGATAAATAAATAATTGAATATGATATTTCTGTTACACATCATTTTCAACATTTGTCATTAAACGGATGCCATCAAGCAAGTTGTCATAATGCAGTAACAAACTATTGCCATGAATGCACTTAATTCCATTGTATATATATATATATATATATATAGGAATGTTTAATACACAACAGACAGTTTTTATAGTTTACAAAAACTAATGATATGTCTACTTCACATACAAAAACACACATCACAAAATAATATTGTACATGGTGCAAACCACATACTGCCACAGTAACATTAATATCATGATCATGGCATGACGTATACTGCAACTGTAACAATAGAAATACCAAAGCACTTATTTAATTCTTGTCCAAATGTCATCTCTTAATGCCAAAATTGTAAACGTCCCAATATCACACGCACAAATAAATAGATAAATGAACAAATAAAAAACAATTTAAAAATTTACCTGTAATAGCATCATGGCGTTTACGGCTGAAATCTGAAATTTTCCAAATCAAGATCCCATCAAAGCTTGCATTTTCCAGGGCTTGAATGCGCAGGTCTTGCTCAGCCATTGAAACATCCTTCAAGGCGATGACTCTTTCCAAGGACTTTATTTTGCGTTCATTACCCTCCAGTGCCTCTCTATCAAGACGTCGTTGTCCTTCGTAGTTTTCCAACTGGGTGCTACATTTTTCTACCTCCCGATTAAGAACTGCCACAATACCTTCAAAAGTGTTGACTTTGCTGTCTGTTATCCCTTCCTGTGTCTTGAGTTGGTCTATTATCTGGGAGATGCCACTGTCAATAGATGGGGAGGAGGACGCAGCTGCTAATGCATAAGCCGTGCCCGAGTCCGCCTCCACCCGTGACCTTTGTGACATTCCAGTGACCTTCTGATTTAGATCAGCAACCTTGGCCTGACACACTTTCATGTTGGAATCCAAAATGGACAAGCGACCTTAAAAATACATACAGAAATATCTTCATTAGAACTTATAATAATACATCCATTAAAAAAATTCTAGAATTTGTATCATTAGAAAATCATTAATCAATTCAACAAAATGAAATTTTATCAACACATCATCAGAGACAATGAGTTTCTAACTTTTTAATACTTTATCCTTTGTGAGATGATTATCCAGTCCAATGTCAATCACCTATTAAAGCTTGTAGATGTTCCTCTTCACCCTGCTGGCGCTTCTGTTTAATTTCAGCCTCCAGCTTTTCCATTTTCTCTCTCACCTGATCAAGATGGAACACAGCAAATTGCTCCATGTGCTGGCCTTCCTTATTAACTTCATACTGAAAACAGTGTTTTTAAATTAATGAAAAAAATCTTTAATCCTAAAATTACATAGCCCAAAATATTATCAACAGAATTTTTATGTTGTTTGTGTCTATTTTCACATCCTTACATATATGTATAGTGTAAATATAATGCACTTGAAAAGAACCTATTGTTAAACATTTTAATAGCCCTTAAAGTCAGTTAAATTAAAAATATATCAGACAGAGAAAAGTTCTAACAGCCTGATAATCACTAAAGGACCAGGACACCCACTAGCTAAGACCATGAAAAAATCTTTTTAAAGCTAACAATGTGTAATTCAATTTTTTATAGTGAATGTAATATAACAGCTGGATAAAAAACAACACAAAACGTGAAGTTGATGGTTCTGTTTGCCACATAATTTCTTTTAAATAGTGGTAATTTTTTTAATTGGATGCCCTGTACTTCCAAAATTTGGTTGAGAGATATCTTCTTTAAGTCCACAGCTACACACCTTTTCCTTGCAGCCAAATTTGCACAGAGCTTTATCCCTTCTGCATGTTTTCAAGTGATCAGGCATCTGCAGGTGGAAAAGAAAGTTGTGCTATACACAGTACAGGATTTTAGAATTCAAGACAAAAATGAAATAAACTAAATAACAAAAAGGTGCAATTTTCTGATACTTTTGATGTGCATGTATATAAAATGCACAAATATACCTAAAAAGGTCTGGCACATATAGATAAAACAGGCCTGTAGCCAGCCATTTCAAAGGGGGGATCCTTTTTTCTGAAAAAGTGGACCCATTTTTGAAGAAACTGCCACAACCCTGGATCAAATTTTACCTGGAGCAGCCCATTTTCCTGCAAAAAGGGCAGTTCATTCAGACACCCTTGGCTACAGGCCTGTACAGAACTCAAAAGATACCAGTGTCATCAACAATCTACATGTGGCACATAACTTGACTGATAAATGTTGTAAGACTAGATCTACGCAATCAGCACAAGATGACATGTCAGGCAAGTAATAAGAAACCTGGCACCAAAAAGCAGAGAACAGCTACCAGTTATCAGCAAGCTACACAGGAGTACATTTAACAGCAGGTAAAGGTTTGTGCTTTGAATTCCTTGTAAGACACAAGGCAAGGTAGTAATAAAGAGTGAATCCTGTTGACAAAAGCTCAGTAGTTTGTTGACACACTGTAATATCAAAAAGCTTACATCAAGTTGCATTTAGGATTAACATCAACATTTCATAAACTCATAGTAAAACAATATTTCATAGGCATGTCAAATTTTTCTACATTTAGTTAATTTCAACCTCCCCCCCCCAAAAAAAAAAAAATAAATAAATAAAATAATAATAATACTAAAAATAACACAAAGCATTTCCAGACAGAAAAAGATTCTTCTACCTTGTCACGTGGTATTTTCCGTGGAAGGTTGTCGCAGAAATCACATCTGATGGGGAACTTGGGGCAAATACCATTGTGGCTCTGAAGGAAAACATTTAGTGTCAGTAAAATTTTAATTGCTTTCTATTGATAATTCATGGGAACATACAAGAATATAAAGGCTCTGTAAACAATGACAACTTTTACCTATCAATGTATGTGGTAATGATATCTGTTGTTTGTCAAAAACATTACATGCATATTCTGCTTTAATCACCTTTCCTTTACTATTTTAAGTTAAACGGTTCTAAGAATAAGACAGCAAAGGCATCAAATGTACAGATGGAACTAAGCGACAGAATCCAAACAGGCTGGTATTCCATCTCAAGTTGTGTTTAAGTCTAATGCATTATTTCTATAATAAGTAATGTGACAGTGCACAGAATTGAGTTGTTGTCAATTTGCTGCAAAATTACATGATGCTTAACAGCATAACCACGACCATTTGTGTTTGTTTTCTACAAATAACATAGATATTTAGAACATGTATCAAGCATAGGATTTTAAGCTCATGGATTTTCTAAGTCCTGCATGTAAATCTGGATATGTGAAAAATTTGAGTTTCGCATAACTGCAAACTTTAAAGAAAACAAGGCAGCAAAGCTGTCAAATGTACAGACAAAAAGCAGGAAATAACTATGCACAAAATAGGCTACTGTCAATTCTGACGCAAAAGTACATTATGTTAAA